AAATGTAGATTGTTTTGCACTGAAGACGAATATGCCATTGAAAATTTTCAAAAGAAAATTCAGTTTTTCGCCATTTGCATTAGTTTTGTCGGGTATGGGTTTTTGTTTTTTAATTTTTCCCAAAAGCACTTATGCTACCTGGTACTTTTCAGTTTCAGAATCCATTTTTCAAAAATTAAAAAAAGCAAGATCAACAATTTTAAACTTAAAACTGTTCTCTCAAGTAGGTTTTAAAATTTATTTGCCCTTTAACACACAAATTTTGTTTTGAAGAAATGAGTTTGAAGGGCTAATAAATTAAATAAAAAAAATAAAAGCTCGTTTTGTCGCAGAAATGTTTCCAGAGTATCAAAAATACAATTTTGAAAAAATGTCGCTGAAGTCTTTTTTCATACAATTATTTTTTTAATATTTTAAGCCTTGACGCATATATGTAATACTCCTATATTGGCAGTAAGAGCTAGTACCGTCCGAAAACACTACAGTACAGATATATCAATAAACACGTACGAAGGAAAAGGAACACACACGTTTATAAATAAACATGTACACAACACAAACGGCAAAAACGGCACTCAAGTACACAATACATTGACAAAAACGATACTAGACTGTCTCGCTTTGATTTCGGAATGCTTACACAATGAGAAGTTAGCTTACTGCCAATATAGAAGTATTACATATCGATGGCTGAGTGGAAGATCGACCTATCTCGGCAGCCAGTTCGAAAACGCTCTATCTCAAAAAACTTTTCAAGAACGCCCTATTTCAGAATTTAATTGCAAAACACCCTATCTCAAAATTCGGTTCAAAAACGCCCTATCTCACTTCAAAAAGTATTGAAAATATGCTGATATAGGGCGTTTTTGAATCGGCAGCTGAGATAGGGCGTTTTTGAAACGAATTCTGAAATAGGCCGTTCTTGAAAAGTTTTTTGAGATAGAATGTTTTCGAACTGGCTGCCGAGATAGGTCGATCTTCCACTCAGCAGTACATATATGCCTTGACTTCAATTTTTAATTCACAGTTTTATTAAAAATGTTTGAATGCAGTTAATTTTAAGATCTAATCATATTAAAGGAAAAAAAGTGCCATTTAGTTATAAAACTCATTTCCACAGTGGCAATTTTTGAAAAATGTTGCTAAATTATAATTCTAATTTCAATTTAAAGCCCCAAAAGTCTGAATTTCTTGTTAATTGGACCATATTTTTTATATGAATTGTGGTTAATTTTGGAGTACTCCTTGGTCCTTAGGGAGTACTCTTTACATACATGCTTGTAATAGTCGCGATTTAAGCAGGGACTGAGCGCGACGCTCTAATACCACGACAAAATGAGACAGTGTTGGTGTGCCCAGTATTGTTCTACATACTCAACTTTACCTTCTTCCTTGTTTGATTTACCCCTGCAAAAAATTGTGCGACTAATCTCTAAAGAGAGTATTCTGAGATTACTCTCAATCGGGTACAATTGGGCATTAATAAGTCCCAACTAGTCTCATACGGGTACTAATGGAGGTCAATTAGTCTCGACTCATCCCTTGTGGGTATAGTTGGAGATCAATTAGTCTCCAACACATCTCTAACGGGTACTATTAACGATTTAATGATATGTACGCTCTTAGTCAATGAAATTTCATGTGCGGCTTTGGCACACAGAGAGAGTATTCGCCTAATAAAACTGAGCACCCCGGTTCGAATCTCAGCTGGCGAAAATTTTTATTTTTATTTTTTAAAAGTGACTAGTCGCTTTTTATACCCTTTCGGGTATAAATGTGAACAATTAGTCTCTTCATAGGACATGCCCGAACAAAAGCGATCAGTTCATTCCATATAAAGAGATCAAAAGTGGTATTAGTCGCATGCTCCTTTGCGATTGCTCCCGGAGTCATCCCGGATTAGTCCCATTTTTTGCAGGGTCATAATTACATTTTATTCCCAAAATGCTGCTACGTTTCCATAATTCAGTATCAATATTGCAGCATACACTTAGGAGGCATTTCCGGCCATACCATGTACATGTGTAGCATTGGTGGTGGTCCACCTTTGAAAGGATTTTTTCGCTTTATGAATTTTAAAAATTGTGTGCACATCAGCATTACAATATTTTTCTAATGATATATAATTGTTTATACCTTAGAAGTATAGTTTAGCCGTAAAAAGGATGTAAAGGAAAAATGACTGCCTATTAATATATAAGATATATATATAAATATTTCTAAATTCACTTAACTAGCAAAATTTTAGTGGTAAAATTCATGTGGCTTTACTCTGTTTTAATTAAAAACCTTTAATAAATACTACATAAATAATGCTACAAATTATTTAAAATACGTACTACAAAAACTCAAAGAAATTCCCTTAAGATTAAAATTTTTGCTTATAAAGCTTTTTCATGCAAGTAAGTATGAACATTGGATTAAGCATATTCCAAAACATCTTAACTAAATTCTCTATAAGTACGCTTGACATGGATTCTAAGCTAAGCACAGTTGAAAGTAAAAATATGCATAATACCGTAAAAGTACTTATAGTACCTTAAAGCTAAGACCTCAGACATACCACAACCATGGCAACTTAAAAGATAATAGCAACGGAAATGGCATTCAGCCACAGAGGAATAACAGGCATACTGACTTTGAAATCAATCATAACAAAGTGACACGCAAACATACATACATATATGTAGATACCTGTAAAGAAAAGTACTCACAAATATTGCTGCAGATGAAAGTGCTTGACATTTTGAAGATAAAATAAAGAAAATAAAGCACATATCTCCTTATGCATGTGCATACATGTATTTTTTCCTGGGCACAGAAAAAGCGCGATATCAAGCCGGAATGGAAGAACTGCCAAGCAGTGGAATCAAAAGTCAAAGTCAAATTTAATTCACAAAATGCACAATCACATTACCGCAACGATGACAAAGAGAAAACAACGAAGAGTCTTACCTGAATATAGAAAGTTATATAAGTTTATACATACATATGTAGATATTATATAAATACTAGTAATTGATATGTATTTACTTCAACGAATTTCTGATTGTATACCTAAGCGCAGCTCTTAAACGTTTGGAAAATACCACTTGGATGTCACTCGTCGTTTACCCGATTTGTAATGTAATTCAATTTGTGTCGCAGGAAAAGTTGCAGCAGGAAGGGGGGACACATTTTGGTTGTAATAAGATAGGGTAACAAAAAAATATGGTAACAGTTTTAAGAAAAATAAAAATGAAGATAAATACTATGTATGTAATCTTTGAAGTCAGAAATTGAAAATTTGAGAAGCTATTTTCTTTTCGGAGTAATGAGGATGTCAAATAAACTTAATCTATGTACATACTTATATTTGCTGAACTTTTATTTCCTTGTAGATATTGTGCNGAAATTGAAAATATGAGAAGCTATTTTCTTTTCGGAGTAATGAGGATGTCAAATAAACTTAATCTATGTACATACTTATATTTGCTGAACTTTTATTTCCCTTTAGACATTGTGTAACATTTAAGTCACAATGTACTAAAAAAAATAAAATCCCAACAAAAAAAATAAAATTTTATACACGATTTGAAAATTATTTGAAGAGTCGGGAGAGAATAAAAATAAACAATCCGTAAGAATGGATAAGGTAATGAAATTATATTAAAATATCNTTATATTTGCTGAACTTTTATTTCCTTGTAGATATTGTGCAACATTTAAGTCACAATGTACTAAAAAAAATAAAATCCCAACAAAAAAAAATTAAATTTTATAAACGATTTGAAAATTATTTCAAGAGTCGGGAGAGAATAAAAATAAACAATCCGTAAGAATGGATAAGGTAATGAAATTATATTAAAATATTTGTAAATATCTCAGCAAGGAAAATCAAGCAGTAGTTTTTTAAACTATTGAGTAATGGAAATCTCCGTCAACAAATCGAGGGCTTATATTCAATACTCTTTATCAGCAATTTTCACAAAAAGTAGTTTTTGGTGTTAAAACCCATCTTGAACTTACTGTCATCTTCTTCTCTTCAACAAAGCGCGTCAGGCACATACCTGTCATCACTGATATTTATTTTTGACTTTGCAATTCGATAGTGAGTTCTACAGGTGACACACTTTTATTTCATTTGACCTCCATAATTCAGTATTTCATTAAATTAAAGTTTAGCAACTTGAAACGGCCTTCGAAATAAAACTATTTTCAACGTATTTCGTTTGACATCCATATTGTGATATTTAGCTCAATTAACTGATTAAATTTAATTAAACTTTTAAACAGGTGGCAACNATATTGTGATATTTAGCTCAATTAACTGATTAAATTTAATTAAACTTTTATACAGTTGGCAACTTTTTTTTAATATATATTCGATATAAGCCTTCTTAAACTTCTTTGACTTGGCAACATTGTGATGTTGCATTTAATTTAATTATCTAATTTAAATTGACTTTCAAACAGGTAGCAGCTTTATCCTACATGTTTCGCAACAAAGCTTTCTTCTACCTTAAATTGGTTTTAATTTTTTGAGCAGGTGGAAACCCTGGTTAAAAATATTTCGAAATAGAAACAGCTTTCTCAAAGCCTTTCTCGCTGATTTCCATATTAAAATATTTGCCGCTAATTCTGCTTTCATTTTTAAGAATACACCGCGGCGTTACTTCAAATCATGTTTAGCACGAAGTTAAAAAAAAAGTTTTTTTTCATGATAGTGGTACAAAATAGAAGGTTGGCGTTGCCTGCTGCAAAAGTTATTTCTGTACATATTAGGTGTGCCCTCGTTACGAACTCGTCATCGGCGTATGCCAGATTAATGTAGTGGTGAAAATTTGGCTAGTAACAAAGCATATGAGATGGCTCTTTAAAATATTTCTGTAGAGCAAATGAATTTGTGATTCTCAAAAGCTAATTTTTTTTTTTCTGAGTTATAGTAATTTCGCATCGCCTTAAGGCCCTTTCTGAAGGCCTATTGAACTAATATTCAACTTCTTCTATGCTCATTTTAGTACAACATCAAGAAAAAAGAGGAAGTTGTCGAAGCCATGCCCCAAGAAGAACCCAATCCGCTGATGCGAAAGAAAAAGACGCCCGAAGAGCTGGCTGCCGAAGCGGAACAGGAAGAGCTGGACGATTTTACAAGTAAGTTGCAGAATTTTCAAGTAAATATTTATTTTAATTTTTGAACAAAACTAAACCATAAAAAAAAAACATACTCAACCCTTTAAAAAAAAACGCATTCAAGAGGAATGTTACACTACAGCACCGTGCAAAAGAATGCTCACGGAAACGCACTCAAACCAAAAAATAAAAAATAAAACAATAAATAACAAAATATTGAAAACAATACTTCGATTCTTCTTAACACCTCTCTACTATGTACTACTAATACTACTACTACTACTATACTACTGCTAATACCAATACTAATTCAATACATTGATGCTACTACTAATACTAATACTATCTACTAATGCTATTTGTATTCTCTTCAATGTTAGCTAGTTTTGATGTGTGTGCTGCAAGATAGTATTTATTTTAGATAATTTTTGGTTTTTGGTTTTTCCAAAAAGAATTCTTTATTTTATAAAACTTTGCAAATTAAAAATTGCGTACTACTCTAAACTATCGCTTGAACTATTTGATTACTTGACCTAGTAAAAATAAGTAAAGAAAAGGAAAAAGGATAGCACTAAATAAAATTATTAAAAAAGATCACACGCGTTAAAACAACACTAACAACAAGCTAGGGCAATGCTTAAAATCGACGCCAAGTTGTTACCCTAAAAAATGTGGATTAGTAAAAAAAAGCGACCGGCGGACTGGCGTTGTTAATGGAAGTGTCGCTACACACCCCTACACCATCTCCGCACTGACTACAATCAAAACTTTAATGAAATGGCCAAAAGCGTTCATAAATATCGTAAACCACACAACCTCACACTTAAGTATACTTGTACATACATACATACATACCTATATGTATGTCAATCACACATAAATCGCTCAAATTAATCCCCGAATAGTCGTTGTAAAGTAGTTTAGCTGGAACATCTGTGCTTATGTGCTCATCTTGAGACAAATGAACTAGCTCGAATGGTAATTTAGTGTCAACGAGTGTCGGAACTTAGTATTGCCAAGATAGATGTCCAGCCAACTGTATCGCAAGGGCAGAGAAGACAACTTCAAACACAAAACAGCCAAATGGACAGCATCAAAATAAATAAATAACAACAAATGAGCACAGTCTACCTCAACAAGCAAATACTACAGCATGCAAAAATTTACCGTTAGGACAACTAACCTCTGCTACTTACGTGCCCACATACTATACACGAATTCTTCTGCTGCTAAACCAACTACATACATACATACCTAGTTCTGTATCACCCTGACAAACAAAAGTGTTAATTTAACGTCGCGCTCGTTTCTATTTTTCCGCTACTCAACTACTTATTTGCTTATGTACCTTTCATTAACAGATTTTCCCCGTTTATTTTTTTTTTCTGTGCATCACTTCAACCTTCCATTATTTTTTATTTACATTGAACAATTGCGATTTGTATGTTACTCCTTTTTTCATTTTTCTTTTTTGGCTCTTTGCTGTGCAAATAAACTAAAAGAGCAAAATCACTCAACTAAAATACTAATTCCAGTCTGCAGTAAACTAAATGGCACTAAATGGCACTAAAATGGCAATTGCAAAGGATACTCGAGTAAATCAAACAAACTAACACACCTGCAAAACTAAAGCATACAAATACTGCTTAACCGGTTTGTTGCCAATAAACAGACAGTTGGCAGCGATTACAGTAAAGCCGCTAATTGCGTACATCCACTGCTGTTGCCGACGTCAACGTATTTTCAGTTTGATTAAAATTTCAATTTTTAATGCACGTATCGCAGATATCGTTTTCATTGATTGAAATTGCATCTAATTTTATATCGTATGGCATAGAAACGGAACAAATTGATTTAGTTTTAAATTGGATTGCCAGTTTTTTATTTTGTTTTTGTGCTTTGTAAACCATTTGCTACATATGTATGTATGTATTTTTTATTTATTATGCTTTTTTTTTTTTTAGTTGATGAGAATTCGCCAATAAACTTGATTGCTAAACTCAGCCTGATAATTTTGAAATCTAAAATGGCCACAAGTGCTTAGAAAAGGAAAACTGGAAGCTCTTTTCTGCATTTCGAAAGACTAATTTAAAGATATGCTAAGGAGGAGGTCTTAGCGTTGTTCTGTTTATCTTTTAGCAATAACTTTTCTGAAAGTTAATGTTAGGAAAAATTAAAAAAGAAAAAAATTTAAATAAAAAGGGGAAAATAAATAAACTCATATAGAAATTAAATTATATTAAAAAACAAAAATATTTTTCTTTCTAAAGACATGAAAAAAATATATAAATATAAAACCAAATAAATGCCTGAAAATTAAGTGTAATTAACAAAAATTATTTTCTTTTTAAAACAAAATCTTAAAATTTGTTAAAAATAGAAAATTTATTTAAATGAAAAAAGAAACAGTAATAAAATTAAAAACAAACTTATATATTTAAAAATTAAATTAAATTACAACAAAAAATATTTTTCATTTTAAAAAATGCATACTAAAGACTGACAGAAAATTAAATTAAAAAAATAAAATATTAAATACAACAAATAAAAAAAGTGCCTAAGAATCATATAAAAAAGAAATATTTTTTATTCTTTTTAAAACAATAAAATCTTAAAACTTAATTATAAAAAGAAAAAGAAAATTATACGGAAAGAGAAACAAATAAAATAAGTTTCTAAATATTAACTGTAACTTAAAAAATTTCATTTAATTTAAAACGATAAAATCTAAAACTTTACAGAAAATTAATTTTAAAAAGAAAAAGAAAAAACTTGTAAGCAATGAAATTAAAAGTACATATGTATATATTTGTATTTTTCTATTTAAAGCAGTAAAGTCAAAAAATTAAAAACAAATTAAACCAAAAAAGAAAAAAATGAAATGAGAGAACGAAAACGGGTATAGTAAGCGAGTAAGTAAGAGAAAGCTAGCATCTTGATGTGCCTCGTTGCAAGGCTGCCATCTTACGAAAGTATTTTTCGAGAAAGTATCGACTAATAATAACTGGGTTTACCTCGCCCCATATGCATGCTTGCAAAAATATACCTCGTCGCTACAAATCACTTTGCGATCAATATTGGTGTGCAGTTGTAGGTTAACTTTGAGCTTCTGCGCTAGTTTGATCTTGTGCGGTACGAAAATTTCGATCTTAAGCTCTCAGACAGACCATGTTCAAAGAAGTAACGTCCTCGATAGTTTTGCACATTTCCACTGGCAGCGATGGTTTTCTTCTTCGAGCTAATTAGAGGTAAAGAGAGAACAGTTTCGAGATAAGACAGATTTACTCGTTCCGATAAAATTTGCGCAACTACACATACGAGGTTTTGCATTATCTTCGCACGCGGTTTTGCACTTCAAACGACGATATATATTGGTTGCCCAGTTATTCGAAGAGTAGCCGCTTGAATTCCTTCTTCGGAGACAAATACCAACCAGCGCAGACTAAGAGCTCTGGGTGCTTCGTGAGGCTGTCGATCCAATTTGAACAAGATGCCCCGACGACATTAACCAGCTCACCTAAAATCCCTCTACTTACGGTCGAACTCCGTCCGATCTTGATGAAGACAGCTTGTCGATCTACTGATTTAAACAGGGTTTAGTTTTGTCAGTTTCGCTGAAAATTCTAGTCTTTACACTCTGTTCTTATGACTTTTTTATGACCAAAATACAACATGGAATGGGGATATTCACTAAGGTGTAAGTTTTTACGTTCAACCCTTGCAACGTGCAGGGCTTTTCAGCGTCTTAGTAAATCTCTCTAACTTGCAAACGCCCAGCGTTTCCCATTAAGCAAAATCTGAAAAAGTGTTCAACTCGAAAAGATTAGGTGCACTTATTTGTTGTACAAAACATCATTACAGGTAAACAAGTGTTCACTATCCCATTCAATTATCCTGAATGGAACTCCAATTCATTCGAAATCCTTTTACTTTGTAGCTGATTTATTATGTAAAATGCTGCAGTAGCGCAATAATGAAAAATTAATGAATCCTAGGTTCCAGTAAGTGTTTAAAACAGAGAGAAGCGGAAATGACTACTTCCTTTTTGCTTTCGGGAATACAAATGCACAATTACTAGAGTAGAAAATGCAAAACAACAGCTTCCAGCTGAGCTTCTACTCAGTCGTCTTAAGAACAGTTAAGAGACAAAAGCCAGAAAACAAATTAGAATGCCCAACAATGAAGGGGCTGGGCTGAGCTGAATACAGAGAATGTGGCGTTGTACTTAATTTGTGTTGTATTTCTTTTACACCATTTCTAGAATTCAATTATACATGCATTTATCTCTTTGCATCTTCTTGAATTGCATGCAGACACACACACACACACACACGGACAAACGCGCGCAGTTGGCTCTTGGGCGTCAACGTAATCAAAAGCTGTTTGCTTGCATTTAAATTGAAAATTTACACTTGTTAACTGTGCAGAAAGGAAATGCAGCTAAAAAAAAAAAACAAAACAACTAAGTAATCTTACACGAAACAATCTTTGTCAGTTTAAAGGCAAACAAGCGAAACAAAATAGAGTTTCAGTGCAAACAACATATGCAAAATGATGCCGACAAGAGGTTTATCAACTTATCTGCTTAATTTGCACTGCACATTCTGTTCAACTTGCCTTGACTTGCCTTAAAGCTCTAAACCTCTAAACTGCAGCTTCTCTGACAGCCACTTGGTGTGGATTTTAAATGTAATCTCGTATGCTGCACAAATTAAAAGTTTTTTGTGGTTGAGTGAAATTCAACAATCCGCAATTAAAAACTGCATTCGGAATCTTAAGCGCTCAGCTGCTCGGCACACCGCAACAATTTGCATTTTAAGCTGTGTCCCTAGATTTGTTGACCGAGCCTAACGAGACTGCTAAATGTGAAGCTTCACTTTTCTTTTGCATATAAAATTCAATTAAAATTCAAAAGCTTCAAATAAACTCTTTTTCACTTCTTTTCAATGGCACTCTTGCAGATTTTGGCCAAAATTGATTCGAATTTATTTGGCAAGACTAATTTTAAGCAAATACTCCAA